GGGGATCAGAGCTATTAGAGCCATAGCAAGAGTGTGACGGTGGTGGCACATGCCTTTAATCCCATAGATCTCTGTGTGTTCAGGGATATAGCCAGCATTGGAGACATATGTCTTTAAGACCTAGGGGGCTGTACATTCAGACAGTGACGAGGCCGTCACATGTTTGGGTTTACAACCAATGAGAAGGCAGAACAATAATACTATAAAAAAGGCATACAGATAGGAAGTAGCCCTCTTTCGCGAAGCTTGGACAGCAGGAGGAAGGGTGAGATTTTAGTTCTGAGCTCTGACCTCTCGGCTTTCTCTTTTACATTGTTTCTGTGTTTCTTATTTAATAAGACGGTTGGTTACATCTATAGTTTCTGACAACCATCATTTGTATAGACAGGGTATATATGCATTCCATTAATTTGAAAAAAAGAAGCATACTTAGCCAGAAATGATTGGATTCAGACTTATCAAAGCTATAACAAAGCCAAGAATCAAGAGAATTCCTAAGGGGACCATCCTGCCTCTAACATTAAAAGGTGTATATATGTGTATATCTGTATGTCTGTGTGAGGGGATTCATTGTGCACCATAAACTGATGTCCATTTAATGTCAATTAATGTCAATCTTGAACTTGAGACAAAGACAGTCCAATTTAATGGATCAGGGTCATGAACACACAGGGCTCCTGGGAACATGAACTAGTTTCTTACTTTCCCAGATTGGAATCCCACTGCTCTGACCCCAATATTACCTGAGCAGGAGCCCAAAATGTTGCCAAAGTTTGCATAATCCACATCCCTAGGACTCCACAGCATGACAAGCAGCTACAACTCTAAATCCAAACCAATAAAAAAATTGATTAATACTAACAAAAGCATTTCAGGATGATATTTACTTATAAACAAATGGATAAAATTAGATTTATGAGGAAATGCAAAGTGACTCTGCACAAATCCATGGGAACGACTTCCAATGAAGTATTTGATGTGGTGTTGGGTACATCAAACTGAATTTTGAAAGGGGTTTTAGTTTGCCCTAATATTTTAGATTGTACTTTACTGGCCAAATTCATATTACAGGATATTCCCGGCACCTCCACCAACAGGTCTAGTCTCTTACATTTGATATATATATATATTATATTAATATATATAATATATATATATATTAATATGTTGCCAGAGCTTGTTATCTTTTCTTTCATTAAAGAGCATGTGAATGGAGATGGTCACTGATAAAGATCTAATCACGATATTGTGCACAGTAGGGCATCCTGAATCAGTATCACTTTATTCTCTAAAGTACTCTTGAAATATTGATAAAGACTTTATAGGAATGTGTAGTTACAGACAAAGGGACACTTGTATGAATATTTCTGAGGAAGTTTCCAAGCTAATCTTGTTATCTCATTCCCAGGACAGCGTCCTGCTCCTCCAGGGTTCCTGACACACTCAGGATGTGGTTGCAACACTGTCTCTTGCACAGAAATAGACCACAGAGTCCTCAGAGGTCAGGCTGCTGAGATCCATGTAGGCTGTGCTGGAGGATTTATCTGCAGTCAGTTTGGCCCTGCCCTTGAACTTCTGATTGTAGTCAGTACCACCATTTTCAGGATAAATGTATCCAATCCACTCCAGGCCCTGTTCAGGCCTCTGCTTCACCCAGTGCATATATTCTTTAGTGAAGATATAGCCAGAAGCCTTGCAGGACAACTTCACTGAGGCCCCAGGACTACCCAGCTCAGGACCAGACTGCTGCAGCTGGACCTGGGAGTGGACACCTGTGGGGAGAAATACAGAGTGTATGTCATTGTCACCTGAGTGTATGCACTCTCCTCAAATCAGGAAGTTGGCAGCCTCTTACCTGCAATTGATGCCATGAGAAGGATGATCCAGCTCAATTTCAAGGTGAGGAATGTGTGCTCAGTGACTATGGAGAGAACACTGATAACATGCTGTTATGGGCTGTGGACATCTCTGTATTTACCACCATAGACTCAGATGATTTGCATATTCAGGAGGCAGGGTACCTCTTAGATAAGGACTTAGTCCAGCTGAAGAAGGAGAGAGATGAAACCTAGGACAGGCTGCAGGATGCTGAGGACCAGATCCTCCTAACCTTGTCTGATGAAGCAGCCATTCCTGAGATCTGTGCAGACCCTGAAGATTTAACACCAAGGCCAAATCTCTTAATTGAAAAATGGAATCCTAATCTGAGACATTTGGTCCTTTTCCCTGACAAAAATTGATTTACAGGTAGTGGTAGTGATGAGAATAATTATGAATGGAAATATTAAACACACCCAAATTAAGAGAATTTCTAATCTCTTTTTTCATATAAAAGCAATTAATATTTGCATTTCCAGCAGAATGCAGGTGTGCATTCCTGGTGTTTTTTATTTTCTGTTTAAAATCCTTTTCTTTTTTCTCTGTATGTTTGCTTTCTATAGAGAAAAAGAAAGCATGTGGAGTTGAGTGGTAGAACTGTGGGAAGGATCAGAGAGAAGTTGGGCATGGAAACTGTGATCAGAACCCACTGTATGAAAACAATGAAAAATAAAAAAAATAAATCTTAATAAAATGAATGAATAAATAAAAATCTGTCCAATATTTAATATGTGTTTAAACATGGAGACTTCACATATCAACAGCAGCAGGTGTTGTTCAGTTAACACCTGTAGGAAGGGAGTCCAGTGAGGTTGTTGAGTCCCCTCCACTCCTGATCTATTTCTGTCCTATTGATTATTGGCTCCACTGTGCCCCCTGCTGGTCCTGATGAGTACCCTTACAGTTTGGTATGCCATCCATGACTTACACTGAACATACACCTTTTAAAATGGTTTAATTCTAATAAGAGTATATAAAGGTAGATTGCTCAAAGTAAACTTGTCACAGCTTCAGTCTTACTGTGGAAACTCTATCTTCACCTGGTTAAAATTCATTTCTCACTGACCATAATCAGGAAATCCTGGCTTGCTAAGTAAGTGCAGGCACTTGCAAGGTTTGTATTAATTGGATTTATTTCACTGTTGAAGAATCATTTGCCCAAATCCTAGCAGAAAAAGCTAATTGATCATTCAATAAATATTGTTCATACATTCATCTTTTTTTCTTCTGTATACCTGGGAAATACTTGAGAAGCTAATCCAGAGACTCCTGGTGTCCAGAGTGTGCCCAACCTGCAGGTTCACTGTGGTCATCATATCTCACTGGCAGTTATGTGTGGTGACCTTCACCCTAGCGTTAGGTAACAGACTGTGGATCCTTTGGTTTTAATCTTCACACTGTTGTATTCAATGTGTTGTGTTTGTCTGGGTGTCAGTAATCCCATATTCTGTAGTCTTTCTGTTCTCCGATATATCTTAGCTCATAGCTGAAGCCAATCTAATAGTATCCAGGGATGGCTCAGGTCTAGATTCGCTGAATCTCTTTTCCTTTTACAGATTCCTAAACTTGTAGCACAACTGAGCCAACAACAAACATCAATTCTCCCAATGATGCTTCTCTAACTCTCAGGTGAAACATTCCAGCGTCCCTACCTTCAGCAGAAACACAGAGTTCCATTGCAGTAACCATGGGGTCAATGGTAACAAGAAAACAGCAGAAAGAAGCTGCAAACTATGATAAAGAACTCTGTTGCTAATGGAAGAGTTAGAACAGAGACCATAGATGACATGAGCTGGCATTTGCACAATGGTCACTCAGACTTCTCCAATAGCTTTGCCTGTAAGAAACACCTTCAAAGGAATCATTATGTGGGGCATTGGAGAAGAAAGCAATCTTTACAAGGATGGAAATTTCCTATGTGCATTGTGTGAAATATGTTAATTACCTCCACCTTATTAGAGCATTAATATATTGGAAGATGTAAAGAATAGATACCCTTTTCACCTCTATCTTTAGTAATAACTTTACTTATGGAAGATCTGGGTTCTAATCCCCATGAGAAGAAATAAATTGAAACATTTTCAGATTATTTAAATTTCCCTGTGATTTTCAACTGAACCTATATGATCACCAAGTCTTAAAATTACAGATCTTTGTGGAAAACATAGAAAGTTTTATTTTTATGCTTAATGAATCTGATAGCATGCTGTAAATGGATATCTTAGATGCACCACAGCATAATAATGATATGTTTATTAGAATTTAAGCAAACAGAAATTGTCATAGATTATGATATGGCAAAGGGTCCCTGGAAGATTTTTTTTTGAAATAGATGGGAAACCCACAAGTTCTAAAATGTAAACAGACATATTCATGTGCTGTGATATTTTGTTTGTGCTCAGCAAATGAAGCTTGCCTGGAGATCAGAGGGCATAACTAGCCAATAGTTGACCATAGAGGCCAGGCAGCGGTAGCACACAACTTTGATCCCAGCACATGGAAGGAGGAGAGAGATAGTGATATGACTGTCCAGAGAGAGGAATATAAGGTGGGTGGAGACAGGAGCTCACCCCCTTTTTGGCTGAGGAGTTGGTGAGGTAAGAGTTGACTATGGCTGGTTGATCCTTTGTGTCTCTGATCTTTCAGCCTTTACCCCTATATCTGACTCTGGGTTTTTATTATTAAGACAAATTAGAATTCATGCTACATGTTTGTCCTTGAGGAAACCCAAGTGGAAGTTCAGAACTGCCTATGATGTAAGGGGCATCTAGTAGTTCTGAGTAGATTCAGTAGTTGTTAAGTGCCACTATTGTCCCCAAGCTCCTCTGCAGGGAGATTTGTGTCTGAGTTCACACTGAAGTCTCCTCCCTTCTGGCACAGTAAGACATGCCAGATGTTGCAGATGTAAGGAAACTTGGTTATTTGAGGTATCTCTGCTAATAATTATGCTGGAGTAGAAGTCCCAATTACAACCTGTGTCTCTTTGTCCACAGTACTGTACCAACATACTCTATCCATTTCTAGTATGTTGTTAGACACAATGAAAATGATGGTTGATTACATAGAATCCAGACTGTACAGGTGAGTGACAGGGTCTGCAAGGGTTTTATGAGAACAGACATGATTCATCCAGCTACACTTGGGACAGTGCACCTGAGAGTAGTTAACATCACTATCAATCATAATTACAAATTATTGGCCACATACCTTTCTTTAAATGTTGTGACACTCACTGCAGGGAAGAGTCACCAGCTAGAAAAGCAGTTCCAGGACACACATACTTTGATGGGGACTCCTGTGTAAAGAAGATGAGGACACCTCAGCCAGGGCTCAGATTCCAGTCTAAGACTGGGTGGTTTTCTTCATGGTAAAATCACTAGAGGATATGAAAGGTGAGCAGAGTGGAGGTCAATTGTTCCTCCCAGACAGGCTGATTTGCCGTGTGTTACCTAGAAGAACTAGAGGCACAGACCTCAGAGACGTTACCCTGTCCACTACCATGTTAACCTTCCTCACTTTTGTTCATCCTCCAGGCTGTAACTTCCTCCCATGACCGCTTTGCACTGTTTACTTGGAGACACGGCCATCATTAGAGAATCCTCACAATAGAGGACAGTCTGTCAGTCCTGGCTGGCCTGACTGAATGTCCATCTACTTCTTCATCTCTGGAAATCTCATCTTTGACACCCTTTTTCTTTATGCCTGACCTGTGGGCTGTGGGTGACCTTAGAGAAACCAGATCCTAACACCATACAGACAGCTGTGCAGTCCAGGATTTTGGGGATTCCCACCACTGTGCACACTCTGCCACCTGCTTGGAGATTCTATGAGAGTTTCAGGGAGATTTTCACACATCATGTCTTGTGTTCGGTTTGTCTAGAATTTCCCTAGTGGTCAATTAAAGTTTGAAAAAAACATCAAAAACTGGTTGTCAATCTTGTTAACTGAGTAGGGGGCACATGTTATAAGGCCACATTTGTTCTGATTTGATTTTATCCCTTGAAAGAGACTCTATGTTTTAGTGTCTGCACTTGGGTTAGGTATTCATTCCCATGAAACACTGTAGGAGGAGATCACCAATCACAGCTCAAACACTGATGGTTCAGGCCCAGGTGTTTCTGCACACACAACTTATAGTTCTTTGCTATATTGCAAGTCATTTCTTCACTGACAGTTTTAAAAAATGGTAATTATCAGTGTAAATACATGAGTGTATAATATGACGTAAAACATTTATTATTAGTGTGAACACATGAGTATTTTTTAAATATGATGTTTTTAATCACAATGTAAATCTATATACTTTTTGTACAAAATATACCAACATTAGTAATGAATAACCCCCTTAGAACAAAGTCCATAGAGCTGAGCCATGCACAGTTGACCTCATGAAATCCCTTCCCAGCATTACAGGGTAGGTAATACAGCTGCAGTGTTCTGCCAACCCCATTCAGTCTATGACACATTTCTCAGGCATAACAGCGAGTGCTTTGTGTCAATACTCTAGGAAATGCTCTGACATACACATGTATCTGAGGGTGGAGGGAATAGAGAATAGAAAGGAAATTCATTTCTTAGTGGGAAAACAAGTATAATGTTAAAGTCAGCTGAGTTTCAAAAGCTGCTTTCATTAAAATAATTATTCCTAAGACTAGAGATGCCACAGCTGGTAAAGGCAAGATTCACAACCAAACAGACAAGAAATATTACCACAAACACCATCTACGGAGTCCCAGGGAGAAATAAGCAAATGTGACTTTACAAAAAACAAAGTTTTCATGATCAGAGAGAGAAATGACCCCCAAACCTCTCTGCCCATAGAGAGTGAGAAGCAAAGTCAGAGAAAACAAGGAGTTTTTCCTTCCAGTTCTGGTCATAGAGTTCCTGGGCTTGTTTAGGGTTGATCGCCCCCTGCTGGTCCAGAGCTCCTCTGCAAGGAAGTTTGTGTCTGGGCTCATGCTGAGGTTCTCTCACTGTGTGTCTTGCACAGTAATATGTGGCAGTGTCTTCAGTGGTCACAGAGTTCAGCTGCAGGAAGAACTGGTTCTTGGATGTTTCTCTGGTGATGGAGATGTGGCTCTTGAAGGATGGGTTGTAGCTGGTGCTACCACTATAACTGATGTACCCCATCCACTCCAGCTTCTTCCCTGGGGACTGCCTGATCCAGCTCCAGTAATCACTGGTGATGGAGTAACCAGTGACAGAGCAGGTGAGGGACAGTGATTGAGAGGGCTTCACCAGGCCAGGTCCTGACTCCTGAAGCTGTACCTGGGACAGGATACCTTCAGACAAGAAGAGACAATTCTGTCAATCACAGGTTGTCACAACCCCTCATGGACACATGTGTGAAATGGTAACACTCACCAGGAAGGGCGGTCACCAGACACAGAAGACCCAACAGTGTCATCTTCTAGGTTACACCTCCTCTTCCTCAGAGGTCAGCCTCCTGTGAGAGAGATGTGAGCTCCCACAGTCCAGGAGGAGATTTAACTTAGAGCTAGAAGGTGCATTTGCATGTGGGGAGTCAGCCTTGTCTTTATAAATAGGGAAGGTGGATACTACTCCGTTTGTCTGTTACACTGTGCCCACCACTGTACCTGACTTCCTGTAGTGTGAGTCTGGTGTAAGAGAGCATGAGGACTACAGGGATCACAGGAAACACATCTTGGCATGACCAACCTCCCCGTCCTAGTCCACCCTCCCTACCTCCATTTTTTTCCTACTGTGCTTTTGCAATCTCAGGTCAGTGCCAACCTTCTTTTCACACTTGATTCATGAACTCCTGCTTTCTGATTATTATGCCCACTCTGTTCCTGCTTAACTTCATTTTCCCACCCATGAGATGAGTTTCCTTCTTTCCTGGAAATTGGAACACTTTTATGTTGCTGTTTCACAGGGTTCATACCTACTTCTTAAAACATCCATTCTGTGGCACATATAGGAAACCCATTTTGAGAGAAGCAGCTGGAAACTGCACACCATGAAACTTTCTTGGGGATCCCAGTCATCTTTTTATCCTGTCCTGGCTCACAGATCACCAGGTTACACATATAACAGAATTATGGGAGCAGGTGTGTGATAGCAAAACCCCAGAGACTAAGGATTAAAATAAATAGGACATTCTTCTCCCTAAGGTCTCTGTACCGACTGAGGCTCCTCTTGGAGTCTGTAACATGTGTCAGTGTTTGGCCACAATATGAGTCCTTCCTTCTTTCCTCATCCTCCTAGTTGTTTTTGCATGCAATCGAATCTTTTACATTCAACTGTCTTTCTGTAGTTAAAAATCCCAAAGACAATATAAACCAGACTCTGGGTGATTTCCATTTTTACATACAATTTTATTTTATGTATTACTTTTAGTGTCTCTTTAGAGGCTTTATTTTATAAAATTATCTATTTCTTTTCTATTAAGAAAAAATTTCCCTTCATTTTACACACCAATCAAAGATTTCCTTCTTCCTCCTGCTCCCTCAAACTCCCCCTCCCAACAAGACCTCCACTTCTCCCCACAAGAAGGCAAGGCCTCCCATGTGGAGGCACATACAGTAGAAGCACTTCCAAATCCCTTCCCCTCTCTCAAAGCTGCTTGAGGTGTTCCATCATAGGAAATGGGCGCAAAAAAGCCTGCTTATGCACTAGGGATGGATTCTGATCCTACCGCCAGGGGGCTTCCCAAGCAGATCAGGCTACACAACTTGCTCACCATGCAGAGGTCAAAGCCCATTCCAATGCAGGCTCCATAGCTGTTGATCCAAATTTCATGAATTTCCACTAGTTTGGTCTTGTCATGTCTGTGAGCTTCCCCATCATTAGGCACTGATGCACTCGTTCATAGAATCCCTCTTCTCTCTTTGATTGGACTTTTAGAGCTCTGGTGTTTGGCTGTGGACCTCTGCATCTGCTTCCATCAGTCACTAGAGAAAAGCTCTGTGGTGACAATGAGGGTATTCACTGATCTGGTCACTGTGGTAAGCCAGGTAAATGGAAACTAAATATTGCTCATCTAAATCACCAATGGGTCAAGGAAGAAGTAAAAAAAAATAAATTAAAGACTTCCAGGAATTCAATGAAAATGAATGTACTACATACCCAAACTTCTGGGAAGTGGTGCTAAAAGGAAAATTCATAGCACTCAATGCGCACTTAAAGAAGCTGGAGAAATCTCACACTAGTGACTTAACAGCTCACCTATTTCTTTATAAAACTCTGTACCTTCTTTTTTTCTCTCTTCCAAGCCTATGTACATTTTTACATGTAATGTAAACAATTTCGAGAAATATTCCATTTTAATCTGTCTTTTGTGTATCTATAATCCTTTTTGGATCGTTGCAAACTGCAGCAAGATTATTATTGAAGTGGCATCCCTGGCTTCTGACTCCTCCTACTTCAGCTTTTCATCATGGTGGACGTGGTCAGGAGAGTCATGCTTACCCTGCCAACTCTGGGGTCCATGGTGCCATCAGGTAGCCAGCAGCTGGCCAATAAACTTTTTTTTTGTATGAGTAAAGGCTAATGGCTCATCATTTTTATTAGAAGACCATTTAAAATGTCTGCTGCATCTGGTATCCAACTTATGGGGTACAAAGTCATGAAAAAGCCAAATGACTGTGGCCTTGCAGTCTCCCTCTGAGGCCTGAGCTGAATGTGACCAGAGTCTTCAACCCATATGTGCCAGACTCTCTAACATGCTGGCTGAGATTTTGTTGTAGGCTCACTGCAGAAAATTTCATAGCTTTTTTGGGGGCCCCCAAAAATCACAGGAGTTAGCCACATTTCACACATTCTCTGTGATATGTCTGAATCTTTTGCTTCCTTCCTCTAATGGTGGGTTTTGACTGTCTCTGGGCCCCTTCCTTGGGTTGCTGCCACAACGTCATCTGTTCATCACTGTCAGCAGATTTCAGGAGTCAATTAAGATTTCTTAAAGGGAGGAATTAGTTAAAAGAAAGTTTTTTCCAACATTAAAAATGGGAAACATTTTTATAAAGGAGGGTGTTTGGTCTCTTTTAATATACATTAGACAATCTAAAAGTGAAACAATTAAAAGAGAGGATAATTGATGTTGATGGGATGGATGTAATGTCAATCATAAATATTATTTGTTTGATCATTTTTGTTTGATCATTTAAAAATTTTTCAATATGAGTGCCATGATAAAAGTTTTAGAAAAACTTTTTAAAACAGATCATAGAAATATTAAGACCAAGACAGAAGAATTTAAAGGTGAACCAATCTCAGCATTGCATTCTGTGGTTACAGAGAAATAGCCTAAGATTTTCAAACAGCCAAATTTAATCTATCCAGTAACCTTACAGGAACTTCCAAATGTTCAAGGCTGTGTACTAGTTCATTGGAGTTCTGTGCAAATGTTAAATTTGAGGTGAATCAAAGAAGCAATAGTCTCATATGGTATCTACTCATCTTTGCTGGAGAAGATGTCAAACTCATGGTCAATTTGTAATAGAATTGTTCCTCAAGATTGGACAGATTTGTTTAGAGCTGTCTCAGAGGCTGGTCCACAATTGCAATGGAGTCCTGCTGATGGGATGAGGCTAAGACTATTGAACAATGAAGTAGAGCTAGAGGTCTTGAAATATCGCAGAGAGGGAGATAATGTTAATAGAGACAGCAATATCTAAATGATTACCACATGCTGGCCTTACGCCACATGGCAGGCTTGAATGCTTGAGAAAGAACTAAAGAAGTAGGGAAGAAAATTAAGTCATTTATATAAGTTATACAGGGCCCCAAAGAAAAGCTCACTGATTTCTTACAAAGACTGACTTTAGCAGTTAATAGATTGATACAAAATTCAGAAGCTAGAGAGATAGTAATTGAATCTTTGGCCTTTGAAAATGCTAATGCACAATGCAAATAGGATAATTCAGCCTTTAAAGTAAGTTCAGCCCCCTTGTTCGGATGGATCTGAGGTAAAAATTAATGTTGAATATCATGATCATGAGGATGCTTGGATAGGAGAGGTGATTTCCAGAGGTTAAAAGAAAAATAGTAATGTCAAATATATTAATTGCAGTAAACAAGGTCATCTAAAAAGAGACTCTAAACTAGGAGTTCCCAGAAATAATGTTTTCTCAAGGAATGATCCTGACAGTATGGCAAAAGCAGACATTAGACTTATGAATATAGATCAACAAGCAACAGATAAAGTAATATTTATCCTTTGATGCTGGGAGATTCCCTGAGGGACTGCTAGCAAGCTCCCATGTCAAATTCCGTTCACTCATTTCCTATTATTGTAGAAGAAACTCCTTCCCAGAGCAATTATAAAACCTAATACCTATTGTAAGAAACCATGCTGCTCTAGATGATAGAACAGCTTCAGAAAATAAACCAAAATTTAAGGAGACACCATAAATCAAAATTGATAAAGATTAAGAAAGGAGCCTCACCAAAGTCAGGGTTGGTAAAGAGTTTTGATTCTGTCTTTCAGGAGAATGAAGGCTAAGAAATCTGAATAACACTGGACAAATAAGACATATAAAGAAAAAGGACAAATCATCTAGAAATAATGTCCCACAAAAAAAAGATTTTCTTCAGTGAACCATGACCAGGAGTAACAGTGACCTTTAAAGTCTCCAACAAGATGATGGGACCACACAATGATGATTCCATCAGGACAATGATAATGCCAAGCTGACCAACACCACCCCAAAATCAACTTTGAAATACAAAATGCTCAGGACATTATTGGGATGGCAAGCTAAGACAATACAGCCTCATAGACTACTCCAATGATGAGGACTTGACCATAGTCCTAAATTTTCTTTGTTTCTCCATAAAACCACCAGTGCCCCAAGTCAGCAGGAAGTTGCCTAAAATACTATGCCCACATTCCGAAACAATGGATTATGGATGTTTGACATTGTTTAGAGATTGGTTAAAAATTGTTATTGGTCATAGTCAATCTTTTTCTAAAAGAACAAAGGGGGATATGTTATAGAAATATATTATATAGAATTGATAGGATAAAAGGATAGGTTATTGAACCTACTCTAAAAAAAAGATAGGATAAAAGGATAGATTATTGAATCTACTCTGAAAAGAAAAGAAGATACAGATATATATATAAAAGGGTAGATTATTGAGTTTACTCTGAAAAAAGATACAGATATGATAACATTAAAGGATAGATGATTGAATCTAGTCTGAAAAGAAAAAAACAAAAATATAGATATAAGATAAAAAAGGAAGACTGTTGAATCTACTATTAAAAAGCAACTACTAGTTTAAATACATAGGTTTGGATTTTTGTACATTGTATATAAATTTTGTATATTGATACAAAGTTGAGAATATTTAGTTAGAAAATAGTGTACATACACTTCTTATCTTGTTCAATGCATTGTAACTATACAGATCAATTAACAATGTAGTGCAAATTGCTAGTCCATGAAGGTTATTATTATCAACTAATTAGGATATAAAGAA